GGGCAAATCCTTTCAGCCCTGAAACTTGGAGCAGCTGCCTTGTACGCTAGAGGAGAGAGGTGGAGTGACCTGCTTTGTACACAAGAGGAGAGAGATAGAGGTGATTGCATCAGAGGGAAGGAGAGGGGTGGGCACAGCCTCCTTTCCCCTTGCCGGGGGTTTCTCACTCCATGGGACACTTGCCATGCAAATTGAGCTCCAGATCCATCCAGTGCCCTATGATTTATGGGTGTTTCTGGGTGTGCAGAGAGCATCCTATATTTTCCCTGTAGACCAAAAAGCTGAGTTTGTCTTTCGGATGACTTTATGCCAAAATAAACCCGGTGATAGCAGTGGGAATACGCCAATATTTAGGTGGGATGTTTTATAAAAGATTAATAAAGTAGGTACTGCGAATAAAATAAAATAAAAAAATCCCCAACTGGTGATTTGAGAAAAAATACAACTCTCTTTCTGTGTCTCTCCCATGCCCTCCTCTCTAGGAAGGTTTGAGTAGGACGTTGGCTGATACCTTATTTTCATTTCCATCGGGAATGTTTTTTAGCTGGCACACAAACTACATATGTAAATAGCCAAAGAGTTTGGGAAGCTGCTTCACTATTTCCTCCTGTAACTAACAATGGAAACCCTTTGAGAATCGTACGAGTGAGCCTCAGTGGAAGTTCACATGTCTCCTGACACGCGGGATTAGCCTCCATGCTCAAATATTTATCCTGACTGTGCTTCTCCCTGAGGAGCAGCTGGCTGTCTGCTCTGCAAAGCGCTGGCCAGCCATGGGGGCAGAAAGGTAGGGGATGCTGGAGCTGCTGGCGTCATGGTGCGCACAGACCCCTGCTATAAGGAGAAAACCTGCTTTGCAAATATGATTTGGACTGATCTGAGTTTATTCTGTCACAGTGAATTCAGCATCAAATTAAAAAGAGAAAGCAGAGCCGCTGCACTGTATGCAGAATTGGCCAATTCCAGCATGTAATAGGATAGCTCAGCGCAGTTATACTTCTTTGCCTTTTGGTGGGTCCCCAATTTGTCTTCATTTTTATTCCTGTCTCTGCCTTCACTCCCTCTGGCCTGCATTTTATACTCTGTGTCTCTCTGGATTGATTACACAGTCTGCCCCACAGAGCTGGGCAGAACACAGGCAGATCCTGTTCAGCATGTACAGATACTTTTAAATGATCTGCTAACAGGAAAAATGAAAGCTCGGCCTCTCTTTGCTGACAAATATGCAACTTAAACAATTCTGAGAGTTTCTTGTTTCACATGTTTGATGGTCATGGGAAGATGAAACATTTCGGAGATGCGTCCTTAGGAAGAGCAGTACTTTATGGCATCTCTTCTGAGTTTAAGGCCTGTTAGAAGAAGATAGGATATAGAAAACTACCTGCATAAGTCAGTTTTGAAAATGGGACCCAGACATCTTAAATCAGCGTGTAAATATCTTCATAAATCAGGCAGCATGTTAAGGCTCTGAGAAGCTTTATAAATTAGTTTGGAAGTAGACAACAGCTGAAACAGAAACAGCGGCACGCTGTGGGGAACGTATTATAGCTGCACTTGTACAAAGCGTTTCTGTCCCTCTGACAGTGATCTCAGTGTTGCACATGGTCTTTCTGAAGTGAGTATGAAGGACAAGATGAACTTCTGTCCCATTGGCATTATCCACATCATCTCGGGAGAAGTTCCTTTCTCAGTCACCTTGAGACGTGCTGTTATTGGTGCTGCTCCAGGAGGAGACGTAAGGAGCCTTTTCAAGTGCAACTCATGTCTGAAACTCAATTTGAAGAGAAGCAAAAGTGACCTAAATCTACAAAAGTTGAGCAGCTGCCCAGCCAAGATGGAAGTCACCTCACAAGAGCTCATTGGTGGTTGACGAGTGGCTCCTCTGCAAAGATCACCACAGCGCCTGGCCTCAGTGACCCAGCTGGGAACTTCACTGCATGTTTGAGCATGGCTAAGCCCAGGACCTGGGGCACGCTGTGCTGCCTGGGAGCAAACTCTGCCTCTCCAAGGAGGGAAATGTCTATACCTCAGTGCAGCTGAGCTGCCATCAGTAACAAGTGTACCTCTTAGTGAAGTCCATTGGTGTTTTTGGACTACGGTTGTTTAGAAGAAGGTAGCTTCTTCACAAAGCCTGAGTGAGAAAACAGCATGTGGGACAGAGTGAGCCAAGGGCAATACGTTGTCATATAATGTGCCTGTTTATTTTTACTCATCTGTTTATTTTTTTTAGCAAAGACACACAGACAGCAGGTTTGACTGACTGAAATAGAGGAGCCTCTTTGTAACATCCGTGCACAAAGAGCAACAAAACAGGACACGTTAAAACCTTCCTGCCAAAAGGTGACCCCCCCCTCACTGTGGTGTGTGTCTGGGACTGACACTCTGTTATTAGGAATGACTGAACCCAGCCCTGGCTTTGCTGGATTTTGTCACAATAACTCCACCAAGCCCAGTAGGGAGTATCGAAAATCCTGGCCCATAACAAGTATCAATAATGAATACTTCTGGCATTTTGTCTAAGACAGGGTATCCTGTTAGAATGCATGGTTATATTCATTTATGGGTTTATATCCCATACTTTTCCATCTCTTAAGACAATGGATTTACATGGTATATTTCACAGACAGGAAGATGATTTTTCGGCACCAATATGTGCAGTACTTAGATCACTGAATATAGAACCAAATTACATTTACCTTCAGGGTAGTATTAGAATGGCACCAAAAAACAGAGCAGGTTTAGTTCAGGAAATGAACGATGCTTTATGTAATCAAATCTGCAAGGGAGATTTGGCAAGAAGGATGCATACAGACAAACTATTGCTGAGTCTGGACATGGCATTAACAGCATTAATCTTTAAGTTGTAGGGGATCACTAAAGATCCACAGGAGAGGAAAAGGACATACTGCTTCCATTTATTTAAATCAGAGGCAATACTAGCAGAGACACAGACTCTCTAAGTCAAAGCATTGGTGCATTATTTATGCAAAGGAGTTAGCGTTGCTGTCTTTGTGGTCTTATGGCTCCTTATTAAATACCTTCAGGGTTCAGGACTGCAGGTACTGCAAGCTCCAGACAGCCTCGGTTAAGCATGTGTTAGCGAGGGGCAATGAAGGCACATTACTGCTTTGGAGAGCTGAGTCCTACTAGCAGGAGTGCCGCTCCTAGCAGCGGGCCCTTCCTGGCCTGAAGAAGCACATCGGTTGCTTTGCACACATGGGAGCAACCATCCAGCCACTTAAAATCACATTTTAGTGTGTTATACTACCAGAATGTCTTCCTTGGAAGGAACCTTCCTCCCACTCCTCCAAACCCAACATTTTCCATCAATCGGCTTAATTCTACTCAAACCCCACTTTCAAAGTCTCATCCTCCGATCCTGAAGATATTGTGCTCTCCAGGTGAATTCCAACTAAATACACCATATAAAACACATGGATAATCCTGCAGGAACATCCCTCTCCTGTTTCATAAGACTGGGGACCACTATCCACAGCAGACCAGTCTTCGTCAGCTTACATAGAGCATTCCCAGCCCTGAGCTAGTCACATGCTTTATTTCTGCCATGCAAAGAGGAACGACACGTTTCAAATGAATGCTATGTGCTCCCTTGCAGCCCTAGGAGGAAGAGAATGAATGTCCTACTCCTCTGACCTTCCTTACTTCTTCCAGGCTGGAGAGTGAAAGGTGTGTCTTTGGGTCTGCAGGAGGAAACTGTACCTGCGATCTCCTCAGACAGCCTGTACTGCTCCTTATTATCACTCCGAAAGGCTGCCAGGAGGGGTTTGGCAGTTTCCACCCTCGGAGGTTTTCCAAACCCAAATAGACAGGGCCCTGAGTAACCTGGTCTGATCTCAGAGCTGACTCTGCTTGAGCATTGGTTGGACCAGAGGCCTCCTGGGTCTCTTCCAACCTCAGCTATCCTCTGATCCTATGGAACAAGCTGTGTTTTGAAAGTGTACAGAAGGGATTTTTGAGAAACCTCGGTGCTATGCTCATAAGCCTTTAATGGGAAACACAAGGCTTGAGTCAGACCTGGTCTCGTCTGCATAGATGTGTACTCAGAGTAACATCACTGACATTAACTGATCTGCAGCATCCATTCAGTACCTCGGTATAGTTTGGATTTTATCTTGAAGTATGTGACAAATTTGATGTGCTAAAGAAGAGTCAGTGATCTACAGCTCAAGAGTTTGAAGGGCAGTTCAGCTGCTGCAGGGGTGGAGCTTTTATCTTATCCTGGAGACTCTCACTTCTTAGCCTAAAAATTAGGCACGTCACCTTGATAGTATTAGGGAGGAGGAAATTTGGAGACTTGAATGGTCATGCGTTGAAGCGGGGTGGCATGGCAGTAAGGCAAGGTGCGTGTTTCAGGGAAAAGTATATTACAGTTTGGGTGTCCTCATTAGGATTCCATGGAAAGAAGCAGGGCAGAATATGTACTAGCATAATGAGACACTACAGCGTCTCTTTCATCATTTAGAGAGCATGTACTGACAGTGTTAATTTTTACACTATGATTCTGCTAGGCACAACACATCAGAAATTTTGAGAAACTCTGCTTTCTTTGTCTCAAAAAATACATGTATTTGGGGCTCTGCCCTTCAGATTTCAGAAAATCCTGTCATATAGACTTAAATACAAGTTAAAAATAACACTACATTTCCAGTAGCAAGATTTAAAGAATCAGATGTCATCCTACCCGACCTCAGTTAGGTCAGGCAGAATCTGCTGAAGCAGCTGGATGGGATCAAGCAGGGTGTGAAAATCTGTATTCCAGTGCCGAGCAGAGAAAAGAAGATCAGTTGGAAATTTCAGTGTGAAGCTGGTTCTGTATGAAGTGGAGAATTTCAAGTGTGAATGCGTGTATGTGTTCGTGCATGTGCTGGGGAAAGTAGGGTTGGCAAGGGAGACAGAGGAGAGCTTTGTGTGCAGTGCTTCCTCTGACACAGCTCAGCCTGTTCCCTATCTCCCAGTTTCACTTCTGAATGTGCAGGAACATGCGGTGGCTCCTTTTCCCCATCATCTTCATCATCCCTTGTACGCAGCAGGTAAGTTCATTAAGAAGAAGAAAAAGATTTCTTCCTTCCTCACCCCGTCCCGGTTTAAAGTTTTTATTTGCTTAATGACAAAATAAATTTCAGAGAAGCAAATTCCTCATAAAGAATAAGGAGCCATTCCCTATTCCTCAGTAAATTTCATTTGCAGATTACTTACTGCATCAGTCTTGATTTTGGTATTTTTTCTCTCTAATCTGTACATTCATGTGATTTGGTGGGGAAAAAAGCATTAGGGAAGTTAAAATTGTCAGTGACCTTGCTTCTTTTTTTATTTTTTATTTTTTTTTTTAAATAGAAGCACAAATGGTTGTCTGATGAAGTAAGAAAGTAAACATTTGTCCATGTTCATATTCCAGAGATATATATACACACACAGTGATCTGACTTCAGGCTAGTTTTACAAATGAGAAAGGCACCGGGCTGCGTTATGCTTTGTCTTTTAAGAGAAAATTTTAAGTGATAGCTTTTGATGAAGGTATTTGTGTCAAAGGCCAATTTCATTATTTATTTGCTTAATTTTGAAAATCCATTGTACATGTACACAGTGTATATTTCCTTTATGGTCAAGATAAATGTCAAATGGAGAATTTTCAGATGACTCTCTCTGCTAACTTTCTGCATATTTAAAGCCAGACTAAGATAACCGAACATTATCAATAATACATTGCCTACTTTTGCTATTTGCTTATTTATGCCATACAGATCTTGTTCAATCTTTAAATACGAAACCAAACAACAACACATGAAGGGTTCCTAGACAATGGTCTCATTTTCTGATCTGCCCACAGGATCAGGAAAAGTATGCAGTGGGCTTGCGTGAGGTGGGTAGCTTTGGTATAGAAACTTTGGGAAGCAAGAATTAGAAAAATATTTGGCCTGTAAACTTTACAAGTAAACTTTAAATTTTCATTGTAATTTAAGAGATTTTTGAAGATTTTTCAGGTAGACTGAGCTTCTCAGTAATTCCACAGTTAAAACTGTCAAGATGTTTGCCTGATGATGGTTTTTTTTACTGGGAAACTTTGTAGTCTCACGTTTTTCAGTTGACATCTTTCCCTGAAAAAAGGAGAGAAAACCCACTTACTTAGGTAGAATTCTGTAGACTTAAAGCACATTTTAATTTGTACTGCAAATTAAACATACTGGTTGAAGCACACAGATCATTTCCTGCTACACATACCCATTTTGAAATGTGATATCTGATTTAAGCCACATAACCTCACAGATCTGGCACATGGACAAATTCCTAATAATACTACTCTGCTTAAAAAGAGAAAAAGCAGCAAGAAAGTGAGTCTCCTAAAGCAACCATACAGTCTTGAAAACTGCTAAATGCATAGGAACACCTGTTTTCTGTGTACTCTGTTTCCAGAACAAGCTTTTAGGAAGCTTTGTACTCCAACGCGCTTGTTCCTCAAATTAACATTATGGTTTATAGAAAAGGCTTAGCTGCCTAAAAAAAGTATATTTAAGTTAGTTGTTTCTATATTATTGCTGCATTTAGGTAAAAAGAATTAGGAGAAATCCTTTATCAGCAAATGATTAACAAAATAACACATTTATGAAACGATCTTCTGCGTGCTGCATGGAATACCACATGATATTTTTTAATATTCATTTATTATATGAATTTCCTCTATGAATTAAGATGTATCTTAAAAATCATTCAGCCAAAGGAACTTGAAAGCTGCTACTTTGGAGCTTCATTAGTAGCTGTGGATTAAGATATCGTAAGTATAGTTGTAAATGACCATGAAAAATGGAAATTAGTAGTAGAAAAAAGCCTTTTAAAAGGTCATTTACTGCTGCATGCAATTAGGCCAGCTCAATTACACTGTGAGAGCTTTCATGTGATATGACATATGAAATGCTGTATTCTGTGGATGCTTCCAGTTTGAAAGTTGAGTTGAAAGGAAATCCAGCCAGACGATTCCTTCCCCAGCTTTTCCTTAGCCTCTGCTGGAGGTTGTTTCTACAGCAGTACAGCCCTGCAGTTTGGAGGAACAGAGAAACTGATATGTGGGGCTTCATGGGCTCAGAAAAGATCTTAGGATGTATATTTTTTTAATTTTTTTTTTTTTTTTCTGCAAGCTAGATGGTGATACTGGCACCTGATGAGGGACTGGATCTTGTCTTTCCCTTACTCATCTGCAATGTGTAACTATACCACTGATCTGCATTTCTGCTGAAATCAGCAGCATGAAAAGATTTAATGCTAAAATCTAAAGTGTTATGGTTTAGATGTAGTTCTTAAAAAAAACAGATAGAATGTAGTTATCTCAAGAGATCCTTTCGTACTCACTGCTGACTTGATCTTCCCCCATGCCTCAGAAAAATAAACCCACTAAGAATTATTTAGGACCTTCTTTTCTTAAAAACGACAAGAAAAGAAAAGAAAAGAAAAAAGAAGAGACGTGACTTCAGAGACAGAATGTGGAAACCAGTAAATTCTGACTAGATCTTTACTTCCTACTGCTGATACAAATCTCTTTCAGAGACAGGTCTTTGCCCTGTAAGCTCTGGATTCAATGAACTCTTACTCACGCAAATAGATATGATCTTAGAAAATGACCTATTAAGCTCAACGCAACTACTAGCCTCCCTTATTAGGATTTGAGTTTTGCATCTAGCACTAGAGAAATTGTAAATACTATAATGGTTCTTCCCAAACAGCTACTCAAATTTTGGAGCAAAAGTAACACTCAAAAGGTGTTTAATATTTTAAAAGGCTTTTGCCATCAGAAGTGGCACGCAGGGCAGTGGCTGGCTATCAAACAGTGGGAAGAATCAAAAAGTAATTAATTTGATAGGAGGTTTATGGGAAGGAACATTTAAAATAAATCCACTGTCTACTTTAAAACTTTTTCTTTTTCTTACTTAAGCTCTACTACGGGTTTTGTTCTATTGAAGACAAAGGAAAGACCAATGAATTGTGTTTCATACAAGCAGTAGGCCATGCTCATTGGTGGAACGACACCTCAGTGCATGGCAGTGACTGATGAAATCGGTCCTCTGTCTCCTACCTAAACCTCACAGCCTCTTACTTTTTGGATCCTGTGAGATGGGAAACATTAAGTGTCTTCATGCAACTGCAGTTTTTTCCATCCCAACTTTGTTTTATGCTATCCCAGCTACGCATGATGCATTCAGCTCTCAAAATATCCCACCGTGTGTAAGTTTTCCCACAGCCCACCAGTGAAGCCTGGAGAAAAACCTTCAGAAACCGGCGAGGACCACCAGCGCAAGGAGCTTTGTCACTGGCCATGCAGATGCCCGCCTGTGCCAACCTGCACCCGCGGGGTAAGCTTGGTGAAGGACGGTTGCGGCTGCTGTAAGGTCTGTGCCAAGCAGTCGGGAGAGACTTGCAATGAAGCAGACATCTGCGATCCTCACAAAGGCCTCTACTGCGACTACTCGGAAGATGAGCCTAGGTATGAAACAGGCGTGTGCGCATGTAAGTTGTTCTTTCAAGTTCCCTTCTTGAAATCCAGGAGGGGGGGACCACGCAGGTGAATAGTTTTGGAGGAAAAAACTCTGCTTGCTGGTGCTGTGCAGATCAGTTCTAGGTAATTTATCCTAATTCAGACTTCGACTGCTGGGTCAGAGAATCTGAGAGCCAGGCAGGGACGGTCTTTAGACTTGCCTGCGTATGCATTAGTGAAACCAGTTCATTGCGCACGAGCCTGTTATTGGCAGATGCGTTGATGACCGATTTAAAGTTAGGTGCCTGTAGTTATCACTGGGCATAAATGCAAAAAAGACGTGCTTGGGCTGGCAAGAACCCAGCAAAGCCTGACTGCGTTTTAGTGCATGTAAACAGGAACCACGTGCTCCCCCTGTGTTCGTAACTGTTGTTTACCGTTTGCAGATCTGATAGCTGTAGGATGTGAGCTCAATGGAGTTTACTATCTTAACGGGCAGACCTTCCAACCTAACCCGCTGTATAAGTGCCTGTGCGTCAGTGGTGCAATCGGATGTACACCCGTATTCACACCAAAACTAGCAGCAAGTCCCTGCACCGGGGCCGCAGGCAGAAAGAAGCCTGGACAATCCATCTGTGGGCCTGGACAGCACAAGAAGCTTCAATCAACAAACTACAGGCTGATGCCAGGTGTGCCTGGCTACACCGGTAAACTTTTCCATACGCAAGCCTTGCTGCATTTGGTGTCCTCAGCTCCAGCAGCCGGGCAGGCAGCGCGCTGGCAATTTCTCAGTTCTTGCTGAAGGCCATTGCCAGGGTGACTGGTCTGTCCCAATTACCCCTCTTACTCTTAGGTCACAGACTCTTTTCTCTAAACCTGATGAATAGGAAAAGCAAAAAGCCTTTTGGCTTCTGTCACCAGGGAATTGGCCAAAGCTACGTTCAACCCATTTTTCTGCAGAGGTTTACTACTCATCAGATCAGACCAATTAGGGCTGCTGGTGAACAGCCACTTCAGAGCCTGGGAGCTGTCTCACTTTCTCCTGCTTTGTGGTGGTAGAGAATCTTGTTTTTACATACATACACTAACATGTTTCAGCCCTCTTCTTTCAACAGACAGCAGAAAATTATAAAGACTGCCTGGTAGCTTTAATCAATTCACAAAATTTCGGGTCACTGCAAGGACAACCCTCCCCCCAATTTCTTCTTTATTCAATCTGATCAAAGTCACACCTCCAGGCAGGTCTGCCAGGGTGAGTTGATACTCCCTTTAACCTCACTCTTGCTCTGCTGCTAACAACTACACTTCTCTTCTACTTTAAGGAAGCACCATTGCCAGAAGAAGCTATCCTGGCCCTTCCCTGGCCACAGCTGCCTGCCCTTGTGCTATCTCCTTTCCCATGCATGTTTCCACAGCGAAACTCATCTTCATTACAACTAATGTGGATACCAGAAAGCTGAGCCATTTATTTGGTAGCAACTTAAATTATGGCCTGAATCATCATCATGGCTCAATAAAATAAAAACAAAAGGATCACAAAACTTATCAGCAAATCTTCATAGAAGACTGCTGAATAAATAGGTAGACACACATAAGTCGATCTGCAGATAAATAGATCCACTTAAAAAATCTGAAGTTCAGTTTGGACAACTTCTAATAGCAGTGGTTACGCAAGTTAGCAAAAATATAAAAGGAAGCTCATCTTTACTTCAAAATCATGATACAATACCTGTAACTAGCATCAAAGCCTTTTCACAGAAGTGTACTTCATGCTGTGATAAAAACACACTCAGGAATGAAGAGAGACTTCTTTTCTAGAAAACATTGCTAATCTGATTAAAGAGAGAAGATAACGCATTGAAAACAATGGCAAACAAACCTTTTGACCCCATGAAACACATTCATTTGGTTTGTGGGTGTTTCAGACACCTGGAGAACAGCATTAAGCCATTTACTTGGTAGCACATCAACAGATCCAAAAGCTGAAGTCCAACCTTCAGTAACTCCTTTGGTGAGTTGATTGCAAACCTCATGTTTATTCAGGAATTTGAATCAATGGCACAACATAATCTTGAGAAAGAACATCCAGCTTGCAAAGCACACTCCCTATCTGACTTGGTTCAGGGACTGAACAACCTGTCCCTACAGGGGCTGTACTTGCTGAGAAGGATACTATTCTTTGGGTTATACAAAGCCACTTAATTGCTTCTTCTCCAAGAAGGTGCTCCCAAACAGACCAGAGGCACAGCTATTCCAGTGAGATTCCCTGAGCTACCATCATCTGAGCCATATAAAGGCAACACAACCGAAGCTCTGGGCCAGTGTGGGTATTTGAAAACAGCAGACAACATAGAAAAGGAGGAATTGCAAATGTGCAAATTTCCAAGAGAAATAATTTGAAGGATGAACTTCACTTTCACTCCATCCCCCTCTGAAGAAAAGCACGCTGAAGTTTTGTTTCAAAGTGAGGTTTTCCTCTTTCCCAGTGCAGCAGAAACATCATGTCAACTTGTGCGTGGATGGGATGAACAGCTCAATGGGCCAACGTTTGTTTTGAAAGGCCTTTTTTCTGTTAGCACAGATAACAATTGCTAAGTTTCATTTCAGTGCTCTTGCTTTATTTTCTGGCTTTCCTTGTCAATTCTACTTACCTAATTTAGATACATAGGGATGTACACAGGTCATATTTAAAAAACACAGCAAGTATAAACAACCATTTAACTTCCCTTTATTTGTTACAGATCTGTGACAGGCTTTTAATCTGCTTGCTGCAATGAGATCTTTAAATTGCTGTCTACTTTCCAGGTATCCTTGTAATTCTGCCATCTTCTTACCTAAACGCACGGATTCTACATAGTTGTTTTTTTGTGTGGGTTTTTTTTTTTTTCAGTTTCACCATGAACTTCTGCATTGCAATTTTGTTTCTTTTTAAGCATACTCCACCCAATCCAGCCCTAATCCAGCAGAAAATAGGCTTTTTGGCAATATCTAGAAGTGACTGGAGATTTTATTCCTCACAACAAAATCCAAAGCTTTCACAATATCTACAAAGAAACCAACGTTATTAATGTTTTCAGCATCCCTTTTCAAGCTATGCTTGGTCTTAAATAATTTTCAATATCTCTTCCATTTTGAATATTTCATAAAAACTCCACAAATAACTCTCTCCATGTAATATTTTCATCACATTAAAGCAGAGGGTCGTGTAACATGCAGTCTCACAGTCCTTGCTAGGATCTGAGTATCCAGTGCCAGTAAACTTTACTGGCAGCTCAGCCCTAAGGTTTTCATGTAACTTTGTTTATGCCTCATTTTTAGATTTACCTACAAAAGTACCTTCATGAACAAAAATCAAACGCCTATCCTTTTATTTCAATTAACCCTCCTGGGGCTGCTCCGCTGCACAAATAATACACTGCTGTCTTAGCTTACAGAATCTTGCCACTCGTTTTGAAGAAAAAGTGCGTCGTACAAGCAACTCCCTGGACAGTCTGTTCCAAGACCTGTGGCATAGGCATATCCAGCAGAGTGACCAACGACAACAGGCAATGTGAAATGAAAAAAGAAAAGAGATTATGCTTCATCCAGCCTTGTCTGACCAATGCACTGAAGACAATAAAGGTACTTTCCAATACAAAATGACTTCCTAATAGAAAATGAAAATATTGGAAGCAATGGAAAAATGGATGTATGAGCAACTACTAATATAAAATTATTTCTTCCTTTTTTTAAAGGTTTTAAAATAACTCTTCTGTTTTCCACCTTCAGTCTTCAGGTTTCAATAGTAAAC